AGCACAATTTTTACTACTGTCTTAGAAAACTACCATTGGCGACCTGCATGAAAAGCCTTTTTTTTTATCCATACCACGGTCCGTAAAATGAGCCATCATCTTAAGAATACCGTCCAACAGAAGAAGCGCTGACAACTTTATGATGGTATTTCCCTTTCTTCCTTTTTAAATTTATCTCAAAAAATATATTTCGTGAACTGATTAACGTGCGTACGAGTTTGCAATTGAGCCACTACCAACCATTCAACTGCCATTGTGGTGTTGTACTAAGTTTAAGTATACTGCTAGGATAACTCATCATCTGTACTGTCATTCTCGTCTAAATATTTTTTACCTTTTTATTTTTTTCGAACAGACAACAGGAACTGTCAAACTTAATCGCTGACAAGAACTATCTCCAAGCAATTAGTCTAGCCATCACATTGGAGCAGCCTTTTAGAGTTATGAACATCGTTAAAGGTACAGTACCTTACATGCATCTCATCCTGTGAAGCGTTGGGTTTTTCCTGATGTACTTTTTATGCAGGAGAGCCTCGTCTATTAAAGTATTTTTCTTTTTGTTCACAATGCAGATATCCTTCTTACTGAAAATGGAACAGAAGAGTTGACAAAAGCAATCAAGTCATTCAGGGAAGATCAACTCGGTAAGAAGTGTATCAGCCTGCACCAGGCGCTCAGTCGCCTGGAACAGTCTTAAGGTGTTTGTTTGCAAATATTCCACTAGGTGGAGTCTAAGAAGCTATGCTGACCACAACTGGTCATTAGGTTTAACCTCGATGAACTTTATTTCTCGATTTATTGCTTTTGTTTCAGATGCTATGTTGAGGTTTATTGTGGAGTGGAACACTAACTCGAAGAACTGCCATGTCGCTCAATCTGGTAAAGTTAAACCTTCTCACTCACTATTGGGATTAACATCTAACTTCTTGTAGCATCATTTTATTACTCACTTAAAAACTGATAAGAATCAACGAATTTATCAGTGTTGTCGATAAATCCCCAGTGTGAAACCAATCAAATGAAAGCTACTCTGTAATACTTCCTTATGGTGCTGCTTTTAATGGGCCACTAGTTTATTAATTTTAACCTTGTGTGTGTCACCCTCTTTAAATATAGACATTATTTACTCACTTTCCTGGTTTACAAGGAGGCTGTAACTTTAACATCTGCAGATAAAAGCTTAGTGTGTGCCATTCGAATAGGGGCTACTGAGGAGTACCAGACAACGAGCAGTCCCTCTTTTTTGGCGAGGTCCATCGCGCAGTGGGAAAAAAATTAGGTTAGCGTGCAGCGCGGAACTCAGGGATTGAGGTACGGTGCACTTGCATCAATTTTTCTCTCACTGTTTTTTTTACGCGCGCGAAGGACGTCGAATAAGAGGGACTGCTTGCAGTTTAGAGCATTGCTTTCATCTTGTGCCATGCGAGGTTTTCAAATTTTTCAGTTTCTTTGTAGATGAAACCCTGGTGTTTGACCATTTACTTCGTAGTTGCTGAGTCACTTTCTTCAACGCGTTTTGGCGTTTTTTTTTTTTTTTCAGTGCTTTCTATTATCTTAAGGAACAATTCTCCTTACGATCTGATGAAGAAGAAAAACATCAAAGACACAATGGAAGCCCTTCTTTCCTACAGTGGTCAGTTAATGCGATATCTGGTTTTTGATTTTAGAAGTTTCTTTATATATAGATTTAGCCAAGCCTAAAAGCGGAGCTCGCTTTTTTTTTCCCGCACGTCTTAAGGGCAAAATGCCTAGTCCCGGCCAGGACTAGAAGGACTAGAACCCAGGTCGTCCGACTTGGAGCTCAGTGCACTGACCACTAGACTACTGGACAAAGCCGTGCGTTGGTGTGCCCGCGGTACAGTTGACCACGCATGTTAAAAGTAGCATCTTGTAAAATTTTTCGGCCAGATGGATTACTACTATTTTGTATAATTATGGGGCTACGCTCTGCGAGCTCCGCTATTATCTTGTGATATTTCTGAAGAGCTTAGAAGAATTTCAGTCATAGAAAGAAAAATCACCACCCCCTCTCCTCTCCCTCTGCTTACCTCCACCACAGCCCCTCCCCCTCCCGTTCAGAGCATTCTTCTGTAATCGTTATCGTCAGTATAACAAGAAATGTATGTCTGAAATTTGAATCTCTTGCAGAAAAACATTTTCAACGGATGGATCGACTCCTACAGGTTTGTCTTTTTCAACTGATACTCTCTATTCCTTTCGGCGGACTTCTCTGACACTTAAGATGTGTAATATAATAAAACGCTTTCACTATTGTCTCCTGTTATTATGATTAGAACACGTTACCCCTTTAACCTCTAAGAGTGACTAGCATCTAATTTCTCCTTACCATATCACCCCTGAATCAAACATTGAGGTTACACGAATAAAGGAAATGATCACCAACTAAAAAACCTCTTGATTGTTAAACAAATTCTCCTCGTCAGCACCTTGGGAAATTTATAGAAAACCGTATGAATAATTTGCATATTGATTTCAGAGTGTAAAAGGTTAACGCCAGGGAACGGCCTTAAAATTTAACGTTGTTACGGCCTAGCTTACCATCGAATTCATCGAGTTCACCATAGCTCACTGGTAGAGAATCAAAGCGCGAAATTCATAGGTCCAAGGTTTGATTCCTCATGGGTACTCGCAATTTTTTTTCCTCATGCCCCATTTCTTTGTCATGCTACAGACGAAACGATTAATATATTTACTTATGAATTGAACCTATGCGGTGTGAATTTCAACTGTTTCTGCAGTAATGTGAAAATGTTTTCATTTATTGTGAATAGGAGATGGTGTTCCATATTTGTGTCCTCTTTATTCAAAGTGAGGGAAATTATAGCGAAAGTTTCTGTTTCCATTGGTCATAAGTGTGGTTGTAAAGCTGTGTAATTTATGTACTTGATTATTCGACAGCAAATGGAGTTTATTGAATACACTTGGCAGTCCATGAAGCTGTCTGGTCCCCTCATGTTGACCACACCCAGGTGAGGAGATTTTGATGTTTCTTATAACTAATCGTTGAAAATTCAAAGTTGAATTCCATTGATCATATTCCTCGAACGTTTTCCCTTGTTTAAACCCTTCAATTCCCACTTTATGATTCGCAATACCTTGTGGTTTTGTTTCGTATTTTTTTTTTGAAAAAGGAAAAATTATATTCTTTAACCCACAAGATCTTTCTCGAAGCTCCAAAGTGTATGAGTGAGTTTAAGTTTTGTGTACATGTGGGCTAGGCGGAAAGCGTGTAACAACACTACGTGGACAGGATAGCGTTTTTCACCCGCTTTTTCAAATGCCTTTTTACATGACGTTTGCATGGCAAATTTCAGATGTGTGTGAAATTTTCGCGTAAAATGAGACTGAAAAACGAGACGACTGCGCCAAGGTTTTACTACGACGAGTGCCGCACTGCATGCAGTTATGCGTGAAGTTTTGATTCTAATGAAACTACAGCTTTAGTTTTTTAAAACTTATTTTTTAGATGCCGCCCTTCCGAAACATCCAATTTTGAAGATTCAAAAGATTGAGAAACTTTCACAACTTACATGAATTGGGTAATTCGATGAAATGAAAAAATTCCAAGTTAGTAATTTGAAAGAGAGTAGAACAAAGATTTGTGGGCTAACTTTAATTTGTAATGAAAACAATGGATTTTGTTTTTATTTCCTCAGAACTGTTAGTACCACTTCAGGGGCTGCTTCTACAAGTGATTCCGCTATAGATAGCAGGCTCAGAGTACTGGATGACAACTCTCGGGAACAAGGTACGAGCGATGTTCCGCATGATGTGCCCTCCATTCCTGACCACTCACGGTCAGATGAAGCAGTGGAGGAAGAGGACGAGAAAAGCACAGGGAATGGAACAGACATTCATGAAGATGGCGATAACGAAAGGATGAATGGAGCAAGTGATCACGATGATTCTGAAAATGAAAGCGACGGCGATATTGTACAGGACGCAACTCAGAACGGTCACGTGGTTGGATTGAAGGATCGAAATACGGTGCAGAATGAAAGCTCTGATGACATGAGCGATCGTGACTCGAAAAAAAGAAAAAGCCCTGATAGAGTGGAGCAGTTCGAGATTCGCACGAAAGGAGACGTCATGCCAGATATTTCGACAAAGAAAAGGAAAACGAACAGAGCATCCGAAGTAAGTTGCGATAGATATTTATAGATGGGAAACCGCATCGTGAGAGAGTTAGGCAGTAAAAGCGTCCTTATTTTTTTGGATCAGTCCTATGAATACAAGTTCCATTGAAGCGAAACATCTGGATTGAATAAGGGCCGTAAAATTCCCGTGTGTTGATTTGTGTGAAGCAGCTTTTTTACGAGTCGGAAAACGAGTGTAATAGGAAATTCCCAATATCAAAATTATGTACGTATACACGTTTCCCCACTAATACCACTTAGATGTACACTTCTTAGAGCGATCCGTTGTTAAAAGTGTTTGGTACCCACTTCCATCTCGATCTTTATCGTTTTGTTTCTTTTGTTGTTTTTAGGGATTCAAAGTGAAGAAGAAAACTAAGTTAAAAGTTCCTCAGCAAAGGACGATGAAAATAAAAACGAGAACTGGTCTTGGTGTAAAATCACGGCGCAAGATAAAACTCAAAACAAAAACTGCTTAGCCTAAGTCCTTGTTGATGGCGAGAATAAGCAACTATTGGACGAGGTTGATATCGTGAATTATCAATGCCGAGGTCTGAGTTATCTGCTAAAGCTGAAGGCTGAGGCAGATTACACAGGCACGATACTTTGGCTTAGGTGTGCCAGAAACGCCGAATAGCGTGCTGTTTGCCGTGACCATGTTGCTCAGGTGCTCTGCTGGAAGGGCTTTTCCGCGTTTTGAAATCTTGAGTTGATCGTGCTTGGTTGCAAGTGTTTGTCAAATTGGCGAAAAGAATTCGTCTGAGGAGTCTTAACACTCGGTATATGGCGATTGTATCGCACGTAGATATCGCGTAAGAACTCCATTTCGTGTAAAGACCCCTTTTCCTCTTTAATTTATTTTCAAAAGTTAATAACTTAGTAAATAGAGACATATTCTTTTGATTTAATCTCCCTGGAAGCAAGGTCAAATTTCTTCAACATCAATAAATAATTACTTAAATCCTGTCCAAAAATAAAAGTATAAATTTTTGTTAAATTTCCATTAAACTACGATGCAACTACGTTGTGACTAGTAGGATAGATGTGAAATTTTGTAGTTTTTTTAAGTAGCCTTTGGCCTTCCTCATATTCTTGTTGTGAGCTTGGATCATGCCATGGAAAAACAGTTTTATCACACAGTCGTAAATTAATTTGCCCGTAATCATCGAGTGGGAAAAAAAAGATCTTAAAAATCTTCGATGTCTTTTTGATACGTTTTTCCTAATTGGGGCGATTATTCTCTGAATTTATATTCCGTATAAATTTCTATCACTGGTTCCTCTGATTCACCCCAAACCTTGGCAGGAATACTTCAGTTGGAATCTCTTAGCCCCAAGTAAGCGGACATTGGTAAATAAAAATTTCCCCCGCTTTTTTGGTCTTCTTTGCTTTCAAATTTTTGTCCAAAATTATGTCTTTTCCCGTCGCGTCGACCCCATAACGATTTTGAAACCATGTCTCGGTAATTTCACTCGATTCCAAGGTACTTTAGAAGAACAGCTCAGAATCGGGTCAAAATCCCGAAACACCTGCCACATTTCTGATCCGTTCGTACACAAGCCAGAATGTTAACGACCATGGAGCCTGGAAGAAGACAGAAAAAGAAGAAAATACTATGCCTATACCTATATCCGCCTTGGACGGGCAATAAACGAACACTAGAGAGAAAATAATTTGAAAAAACGCTGAATGAAGTTTGATGTACAGCGAATCCTTGCACAGCAGGCCTGTTAACCCTTTAACTCTTATGAGTGACCAAGACAGAAGTTCTCCTTACAACATCAATACAATATCAAGAAGACAAGTGATGAGACTAAAGAAAAATATCAGTTAGGGGATTATAAATTGATCCAATACCAAATTCTCCAAACTAACATCACAAGAACTGTATGGGAGAGAGTAGGGAGAATTACTAAGATTTCAGGGTTAAGATAGCTATTTAGAAGACTTACCATTCTGCTCCATGTTGGCAGCCATCCTTTGTATAATGAAAAGAATCCCTCCTCACGAACCTATGGCGAAAAAAAAAATAATCCCACCCGAATCTTGAAACAAGCACAGGTTATGAAACAGCTTTCACTTCTTTCACACTCAAGAAAAGCAATCCTCAGTCCCCAACTCGAGCAATGATACTAGGATATCCTCTTCTACCCTATAGAAAGAACTCTTGCGCTTGCAATCACTCGCGTTTCCCACATTGCTCGCATATTCCTCACATGGTCATTCCCTCGAGTGTCCCACTCCTCGTGAGTCACATTCCTCGCTTATTGTCCTTCATGCATGCCGTCCCTGTTAAGTTTCATTCCAATTCCAATCCCTCAAGTGTCCCATCACCCGGGTGTCCAATCCCTAGACTACCCTGTCCCTCGAGTATCCTGTCCCTCGAGTATCCCATCCCTCGAGTATCCCATTCCTCGAGTATCCCATCCCTCGAGTATCCCATCCCTCAAGTATCCCGTCCCTCAATTATCCCATCCCTCGAGGGTCCCATCCCTTGAGGGTCCCATCCTTCGAGTGTCTCTTCTCATGCGTGTTCCATCATTTGTGTCTCCTCTCCCTAAAACGTCCCTCCCTAGAGTATATATCCCTCGCAGTCATATAGCAGTCTACATGTAGCTTACATACCGCACTCAAGAAACAGTCTATGGATCCTCTATACACGTTAGGATTGTTCATTATTCTTGTTTTGACCACATCTGCTGGAGTGCTGATTGTTGCAGCGATCAGTCCTGAGCAGCCACTAGGAAAAAAAAATTACAATGAACAATTAAAAGGAAATGAAAAATATGTTCATTGTTTAAAATAATTACATTTCCTGCGAGGTAGTCGTTCGAAAACAACACTTGACCTTGTTACTCCTAAGATCTCATTTAGTAATTCTCCTTACTGTATGCCATACAATTCTCATGATCAAAGTTCAGAGAAGTTGGTATTGGATCAACTAGTCATCCCCTAATTGATATTTATCTTCATCCTCAACGCTAATCTGCTTGATATTGTAATGATATTGTACGGAGAAATTTTGTCTAGGTCACATAAGAGATAAGCTTTGATTAATTGTGAATTTCCAACATCAATTTCCTACAAGAAAAGATTAAGTGGGTATTGGGAATATGTTCTCTCATTTTCTCTTCTCTTGTTTCCTGGGAGTACGTCGAGATTTTTGGCTCTTCATGTGCACAATGATGCCCGTTCACCTTTTAACTCCTACAAGTGATCCACATGAAATTTCTCCTCACAATTTCATTCCATTATCCTCAAAACAGTGATGAGAATAAAAACACCTATCAGTTGGAGGGTACTAGAATGTCATTTTACCTCGAAAAAGTGTGAGTGACCCAGTTGTCCTCCAAACTTGTGTGATGAAGCAAGAGATGCTTCACGGTGTCGTAAGTGGTAAGATCTGTAAGGTAATAAATTAGTAAATTTATAGATTATTAATACATAAAATCGAACCCACAGTTACCCGTTATGTAGCCACCATACTGAAAGAAAACAACGACGCTTTTTGATTGAGTGTCGCGCGGGAAGAAGCCGCTGACCAAGCCTTAAAATTGGTTTTGGTTTTACATCTGATTGAATGAGAGAGTGGCGCGAGTTTGATGGACCAATCATAGGGCGAAGTAAGGAAAAATAAAGCAAAGCACGAAAACGACCAAGAGCACACGAAACGCGCGAAAAACGCACGAACGCGCAAATGAAAACGGAGCTTTCTGAAGAAGCGTGAGTGTTTTGGAAACGCATCGTTATTTAACAACTTCGTTTCTTATGTGGACGTTCTCGCAAAAATGGGTCACAAACATGTGCTGCCCCTTCCATCTGGGTTTTCTGCTGTTTCAGTGTGGACGATAGACAAAAACGCATCAAAATGAAGACTTTGTGTTTTCAAATGAAAATGCAGCAGTGTGGTTGGGGCCTGAATTGGGTACAAAAATTAAGACGACGGCAGAAAAACTTTTCGGCGTTTTTTATCGTATCAAAGAGATACGAATTATATAAGTCACTCACCTCCCATATTTACTAAGGCCGCCCTCTGTACATTGGGAGCCCAACCTTTCCAGAGCCCTCGGACGCCATGTTTACGAACAATGGTTGAAAAAGCGTGTACAGTGTTTCGTACCCTGCGTCAATAAAATCGAGATAAGACATCAATCAGAAGAAAACTGAACGCTTACATATTGTAACCTTGAAGCCTTTTGTACCTGCGTTATCTTTGTTGCGTGATCGTTACAGAAAGGTCCGTGATCGTCGGATTTTACCATAGCCTGACTTTTACTGAGACATTTACCGTGGGGGCGGTAAATGCTTAATACAATCGTAACCGTTTCGACTGATAAACTAATGGTAAGCGTCACCGTTCCTGTTGAAAGCTATCGTTATCGTTACCGTTACCGTTACCGTTACCGTTAAGCATTCGCGTTATCGTTACCTCTGTGACTAACATATAACTTCTCCCCATGATATCCATAAGTTTTCTAGCAAACGGTTTATGAGAATAAAAAAACTTATCAGGAAGCAGTTTTTATCTTGATCATACACCAAATTCTCGTAACTAATTTACAAGGAAGTGTGTAGCAGCAAGAGGAGAGAATTAACAATCAGATCTTGGGAGTTAAAGGGTTAAGGTAAGGCACGTTGTACAATCGCAGGGGAAAAATTGGTAAGAAATTCCAAAATATCTCAATCATAATTCTGTCATCAATTTTGTTGCTGATTGTTTTCTGCTCAGATACACCCTATCATCAGTTTGCATATTCTCCATATTGTTCTCTGTACATTTACTAATGTGCTGACAAGGAGAATTTGTCTAACAATCAAGAGTTTCTTTAGTTCATGATCATTTCCTTTATTCTCATGACAATTTTATGTGTGATTCAGTGGTGATATTGTAAGGAGAAATTAGATGCTAGTCACTCTTAGGGGTTAAAGGTTTAACTGGGTGCAAGTAAACTGGCAAGCACAAGTCAAGAGTCCTCACATGCTTGCTGACAAAAAATACCAAGGTAACCTGATTGACTGGAACACACCTCGGTCGACGTCCCTCTAAAATAACTCGTTTTCCTTCCATCTGCATTTGAACTTTAACAAGATCAGTTGGACTGGCTATGAACTGTCCAAAGGCACCTGCACTCATCCCTGCAATCACTGATTTCCTGGATAGAAAGGATTTGAGTTGAGATCAGATCAAATGCTACTGTCAAGTGCGCTATTTAACCCTTTACACTCTGACATCAGTAGGTGTATTCTCCATACTGTTCTCCGTACATTTCCTGAAAAACTGACGAGGAGAATTTGTTTTACAATCAAGAACTTCTTAAGTTGATAGTCGTTTCTTTGATTTTCATATTATTAACCTCATTGTGTGATTCATGGGTGATATTGTAAGGAGAAATTAGATGCCAGTCATCCTTGTGGGTTAAAGAGTTAATAATATTTTTGAAATATTATCCTTTTCAGTAATCTCAAATAACATATTTATGTTTGTTTTACAGCTGTTGGTCACTTTTTTTAAAATTTAAAAGAAGACAAAATTAAAAAGAATGACACAGAAACTTGCCATAAGGGAAATCTTCCGTCTGGATTTCTTTTCAACACTTTATTTCGCAAGAATTCATAGGCTGTCATTCTTGAGCCTGTGTAAACTGTTAAATGTTATAAAAAAGTACAAAATAATAAGTTTGCCATCTTGACAAAAAAAAAAGGTTCAAAACCTTAACCTGAAAAAAAAGGTTATCAATACAACTGATAAATTCATTGCACTGGAACAAAAATGATAACAAAGCATAAAAACCAACATACAAGTTTGCCAAGGAAAACAGTGAGTGGGGAGTTATATCACCTCCACTTACAAGTGGCCATTGTCAACTCTCTTCCAAATAACTCTCACTTTTAGGCCTCCTAAAAACTTCCAAAACACTTTACACACACTCTTCACCCTCAAATTTTGTTCTATGACATGTAAACTTTCCTCAGTGAATGTAGAGAGTCTTCCAAATCCCCTTGACCCAAGAGAACAGTGCAGCAATGGGGGTATTTGAGTGATTCAACTTACCAATATGTCTTAAAATCGCTGGGGTGACACCACTCCACAGATTTCTTAATCCTTCTTCTTCAACTGGAGTATATAACAAGAAACACAAAAAGAAACAGGCAAAAGCATTTAACAATGATGGTACCTAACATATATTTCAGACATAAATGTTATAAAACTTCAGGAAACCAAAATTTGAGAACAAATCTTTACAGTGTCTCTATTGGGACGACTCTGCTCTAACCTTTAAACTACCATGAGTGACCAAGACTGAATTTCTCCTTACATTTATCGATACAAAATCATGCAGACAAGTGATGAGAATAAAGGAAAATATTATTAATTAGGGGATTATAAGTTGATCCAATACCAAATTCTCCAAACTAACATTATAAGAACTGTATGGCAGACAGTAAGGAGAATTACTGATGAGATCTTGGGAGTTATGGGGTTAAAAGGAGGTAAGGAGAATGTATTCAAAGGTCATGAACAACAACACCTGATAAGACAGAGATGTCATGGGCAGAAGTATAAGGCACTGCATCGAGAACTCAGTCTATGCAATCAAGAAAAACAGGAGACATAATAATTATGCGTAACTTGACACTCCCTGCCTGGCAACACTGTGAGTCAGATCACAGATGTAATCAGTGTCAATTAATGATATCTTTTATTCAGCAATTACATTAGTCTCCTGGCCCACAAAAATTCCTTGGTCAACATCAAGAAAAGGGTAGACTGCTTTAAGATTATTAGGACTTTATCTAGTTCAATCAGTATGTCCCACAAATTGGGGACTGCATTTTTTAGCAGGCCCAAAGTTCTCACCTATACCAACTGCTGTCCTCACCATACCCCGGTAAGGCACATTAGCTGCTGTGGTAGACTGAATGGTTGATGCTCTCTCTCCTTGGATTTGAAGTCTGGTTTTTGTTATGTCCAGTGGAAAGGTCACTTGAATTAAAAAAATTAAATCAAAACATAATCAGATGATAAACTCAACCACTGGCTAAGTATATCTTAACACCTGCTATTGCTCCCTCTCTAAATCCAAAGGCTGAGATTTTTTACTTATTATAAATATTATTTATGAGGATCTTGTAAGCAATTCAAAAAAGTTTTTTTTTTTTACCCTTTAATACACATAATCAACAATATAAATTCATCTGAATGGCACACATGGATTTTCTAGAACAAACAACCGTGATAATGTGTTATCTATAGGTCAGAGCAATTATTTTTTGGTGACTTTTTTTTTTTGAGAGAGAGGGTCTTCCTTTATTCCTGCGAAATGTCTTGTTGATAATGTTTAAATACTGTTGAGAGAAATTTGATGAGCACTGATCACTTCTACTGCTAAAAGGGATTAGGATTGTGAATGACTAAGAGTGACAAGGTTCTAATTTCTCCTTACAATATCACCAGAATAAAAGGTAGGAAATGATCAGCAACTGACAAAGCTCTTTGATAGTTTTATAAATTCTCCCTGTTAGAACCAAAGGAATGTATAGAGAACAGTAAGGAGAATATGTATACTGATGTTAGGGACTGTAAAGGGTTAATTACTTCACTGAAAATCTCTGACAAATATCCTCTCATGGTGGTATCAAGTCTATTTAAAAACACTTAAGTATTGACGAGCAACTTGAGGAGCAATTGCATGGATTAAGCCCAGTGACTCAAATATGCCATGCTGTTGATCAGTTAAGTTGGCTGTTTTCCAATCATTTCCGTTTTTGATCAAATCAAAATTTTCCATTCTTGCCCCAAATATAAACAAGTATGAACAAGTTTTTTCAAATCAGGTGAAGTAAAATACCTAATACAAATTTTAACCCTTTTTACACTCCTTAAGTTTTCCAAAATATCCAAACGCTATCAATATTTTCAATTGTGATTATTCTCAAGAGTGCAAGGATCCCAAACTGAGATAAATCTATTTGTTTAATTCTTTTAATTCACAAGCTTGGGAATCTATGCCAAAAGGCTGAAATCTTTCAAAAGCTTTTTACTTAATAATAAATAAGGTAAAGCTTTAAATCCTGTTGTTAAACTTAGTTTTGATAATCTATTATTTAGCGATCTATTCATAATCAACTTTGCTATATATCACATATCGCGTTAAAAGTAATTCGATTTTCGTCAGTAAATCATTTACACCGTAAACCATTGTCCAACCAAAGTTAGCCTTCATTTTATCGAAATTTGTATCAAAAGATAAAATATGCGCTTCAGATTGAAAGAGGAAAATTGAAAAAGGCTTAGTCATGGCATTAGGTAATCTTCAACTGTGACCGAGATGTTCAAAGTCCGATTTTAGCGACTGGTTGCACGATTCATCTAGTCTGCGGTGAGGTTTTCGCGTCAAAAAAATGTTATAAGACATAAATTTAGTCTACTTTTAATTTATCTAATCTAATTTATTGAAAAGATACGAGAGATTGTTAAAGTGCCATAACAACCGGAAAAAGTGTGACGTCCATAAAAGAACGCATGACTCCTAAATGCAAATATGGCGATAAACATTGAAAGCGTTAAATTAAGCTATTATGCAAGATGATAGCATAAGTTTCGTAGCCTTCTCGAATTTCTCGTGAATATAGCCATGACATAGTGTAATAAAAAACAGAAGTGTGGTATGAGTTTTCCCATATCAATGTCGCTTTGTAAAATATCTATATTTTTATGCTATATAATATTATTCAACGTGCCTCTCTTCACAACCGTCTACTACTCAAATCGTAAAATCTGAGGAGAACTTTACGACCGAAAAACTTCAGAGATTCAATCAGTTCAATGTGGAATACAATGTTACCTGTTTCTGCCACAGTCGCAGCCATGGAGGACAGGCAATACTTATACGCGAAGCTCTGTATTTCTTCAGCCATAATAACAAACAAACTCAAATAAACATTGAACTGTTCTCTTTTAAACAAATTACCGCTGACCTAACAGATGTTGGGGCGTCAGAGGGGGCGTGAGAGGGGAGCGGAACTGATCACTGAAAATCTTAGTTCTACGTTCTGCCGAGTAGTTTTTATTGTTCAAGCGTACAATGAGTGCGTAAGAGAGAAAAGGGAAAATATAAATAATTGTGAAAATAGATGAATGACGAAAATAAAAGCCTGATGATTCTCTGATCCTTTACGAGCGATTAAATGTCGCGCATCAAGCGTTCTCAGCGGGAAACAACTCGTAAACAAAGGCCCCTGAGCCTAAAATGTCCCATGGGAACAGAAGGTCACTGAACTATCGCTTCGTGTATGTCTAAACACATGAACGTTTTTTAACAACAGACTGTATGGGGCATGTTTTCGCTCGTTTTACCTCGTGACAAATATTTACTACCGTGTTGTCCATTTGCGCGTGACCAAATCGTGGTGTTCTAGTTCCAACTTGGAAAAAATAAATTGAAAACTGAATGCTGCTGAATTGCTACTAAAAAAAAAAAAAAATTGAAATTTCGTTGTATGTATATACATATATATACTTTTTTAAATGTTTTTTTTCTAGTCTTTTCTCTACCAAGATTCAAACCATATGAATTCTCCTCATTGTCTGACATGCTTTTTTTAGCCTTGTCAGTCATGGAGATCTGGTGTTAAATCGGACAAAATCTATTAGTTGATTTTTTTTTAGAAAGAAGACCCATCTGCGCATGAACAAGGTATTGCTATTTTGAGAAAAGAATACCTAACAGTCATTCATGTTTTTAGTAAAGAGTGATGTAACAACTAAAAACGCTTAAAGGCATCCGAGTTATTAAGTGAACGTATTTTAAAATAAAAGTTAGTAAATCAGGAAGGTGTTATAATCTCGCACCCGAAGGACACTCGCGAAGGTGCTAAGTAGCCTTAAAATTGAGCCTGACTCGCAACCTGCATGACCACGAACATAAAAATAAATCAGAAAATTATTAACGAAAGTTGCATAAAGGCAGCTAATTCTAAGATAATCTTTCAATAAATTTTGTTCATTATTAGGCGATATTTTCTTCTCTTACATTCGTTGAAGATGCTTAATGTGGATGCAAGATTTTCCGTCCAAATTTCTGCTGTGCTGTACTTTGTCTAATTTATGAAATCAAAATGTACTCCATTGAGGTTGAAACGTCTCTAATTTACAAATCCCCACCATTGTAGGTATCTTCTTTTATATTCTTTTATTTCAGGTTTTATTTCGCTGTTTTACAAATTTATAAATGTCAAACAATTTTAGTTCCAAGGCCGTCCAGGCATGACTTCAGTTTGCTTCCATGACGATTTCATTTTACATGAAATTAATTTTCTTCAATTTTATCTTATCTTAAGAAAATTATTATCATTACAAAAGCGTTTTATTTATCAAAAATGACTTTGGCCTTTCGAAACAATTTCAAGCCATTCTTCGTTTACACTTTTTATTATTCTCGTTCCCAGAGTCCTTCTTTTATTCTATTTACTCGGCCATTCGTGGAAAGAGTGGTTCTGGGAATAGATTGGCTAAATGTGTGATATGCTATGTTAGCATTGTTAAAGGGGCGTTACCGTGGAGGTTAAATTGTCGCCATAGAAACCATCATTTGTAAACGGCATCAGCATACTGTCAGAAGTTAGATTAGAAACAAAGGACCCGTTAGCTAACTGTCGTGTTTTTCTCTCGGCTGCCTCGAAGCCTCTCTCCAACTGAGGTGTTCCCAAAGAAGTTACTGTATTGACGGAGTCTCGCTGGCTCTCATGAGTTGCTACGTTCATTTTAACTACATCCAACTGAACACACTTTCTTTTCTTTTCAGAGGAATACTGCAGCATTATAAGATGTTCTTCGCCCTTCTCAACGTCAAACAACAATCGCACAGCAAACTTTCCGAGTTCTCCTAAATGATGCCTAAATCTCACCAACAAGAATATCGCCAACACTTCTATTAAAAGGGCTAGAAAGCAAAACCCAATGGTCACAGCGAGAGCCAGAAAAAGTCCACTTAAATTCAAGACACTGAGTTCCTTAGCGATGGAAGAGGAGCACATCTTTTCATCAAAGTGCATCTTTTCCAGCAAGTCTATGGTTCCATTTTGTTTCATATCGAAGACAACTTTATTGATCTCTTCCAGCCAAGGAGAGTTCTTGGGCATGGCAAACGCTAACCCAGAGGTGTAGAAGGTCGGTCCAGCTAATCCAAAATGACAATTAGCAATCTTGTTGTTGGCCTTTCTCAATGACAAATAATCGTCAACAAAACCGTTTATTTCACTGTTAAGAAGAAAGAAATCACTTCATATCAGCAATAGTTCTGGCTTTATAACTCTGAGTACGCGCGAAAAACTGGGGTTGAGTGTAAGTAGCCGAGGTTGCAGCCGCCCATTGTCAGACAAAGCTCTCGTTTTCAATTCACCAAGCACTTACCCGTTTTCAAGTCTGTTTATTCCCTCGGTTAAATTGTTCAGGAGATTGTTTTTGATATTGGTTTCGTATAATTGTCGGATATCATCATTTATATGATTCCTGAAATACGCCTCCGAATAGGAATCTTTCAGAATACCAAGCTGAAACCCAGCCGGTGGATAATGGGATGCATCTACCAACTAGAAAATAAATAGATGAAGAATGCATCATGATTCGATGAGAATATTCAGAGAGAGGCCCATTTTACTCTGGGTCAAAAAGTCGGTGGTCCAACTGAGGGCAGGCCGAATGACTTTTTCTCAACCTCAAGGAGAATAAATGAGAAACTAACTTCCTCGTGTAGACAATGCGGGTAATCCTCCTTGGACTACAATCAAGGAGAAAATATTTCCTTCGCCTACTACACCATTTCTATCGCGCAAAGGATAAAAGTAGCTTTACTACGCCCGATATCTACCATTTTATGAAATGGTGATCTGTTAATTTGCTTCATGAATTGAAGATTTCACGTTATGCAAAACAGAAAAAACAACAACAACAACAACAACAAGAAGTAAGATTAGACCTTAGGGTCTGTTATTCCATCAATTGGCAAGGTGTAATGATCTTCAACCAAAAAAGCCATCATGTTGGCACAATATGTATTAGCAAGGATCAAAGCCATGGACGCATATACTGTGGACACACATCGTGCACTGATACTACGAGGGGTCCTCTCTGCTCCGATGTCTTTACTAAATGCCACGCCCCAAACGTAGCTCATGGCGTCTGCAGTGACAAGAATTAAAACAACGGTCTTCATGATGGAGATCTTTAATTAAGCATCACCCCGCCCCCTTTCCCCTCTCAGTAATAGTGAAGTAACAGAGTCAAAATTGTACAACCCAAACACCTATGGGATCCTGCTTGCTGGCGATAGTTTCATACAGGCTGAGGATCACAAAAATACTTATTTTCAATGTCCATGTCCACGGGATCGAGGCTAATTCAGAGTAAATATGGGACGTCAAACTTAAGTTGATGCTCGCTTAGTACACAGTGTCCGCTTAATTAAAGTTTCATTGCAACAATGATAAATATTCAGAGACACCGCGCCTCCTAACTTTGGATAATGTTTGGAGCGGTTCCTAAGGTGACGACATTTTAAGTCAATTGAATTCTGTTTCTAATGTTGATGATGAGTCCACGATCTCTGTTCAGTTGTGGGGTGGGTACTGTTTTGCCTTACCTAGCTCCCTCCCTCTGAGAGTCACTGCTAACTGATAAAAAAAAAAGAGAGAATTTTAAACTTTGAGAGTGGTTACTGGTCACAAACCTAGCATCGTAAATCCATTCTCGTCACTCTCCTTAAAAATACGATGATGTCCTGATGGACTTTTTCTATCCAGCCACCAGACTACCATTAAGATAAGGTTACATGTTCCCAAGATGGCCACCCACAGGTAGACACTAAACGGCTGTAACCAGGAGTGCAATGCATTACCTGTGAGAAAAGAACACAATTAGGTAACATGGCAAAGTCAGCAATCGAAAAAGAGGCCCTAATTATATAGTTTCGGGTAATTAAAAAACCCCTGCCCCCCTGCAGAACATCAGTCTCTGCCAGGCAGGTTACACTTAAGAAAAATTTGTGCTCCGAACTATATATAAGAGAAATTCTTCCGCCTGCCAGGGTTGTCCTCCATTTATCCAGGCATGAAACCTCGCCCACTTAATTTTTCCGGCCGTTGCGAGTCTCATAAGTAACATTTGGTTGCGTTACTCATAGAAGTTTAAGTAACTAAACCAGGGTAACTCGATGGCTCAATGTAAGGGGGAAGGGGGATTGTGGGGAGATTGGGGAGTTGCCTCGGGTACCTGAGAACAAACAAATGACTCCTGACTCACATAGCTGAGGGGTAGTTATTCCCAGAATATCTTCGGGTCTTCCTAGCATTTGGCTAGTACCGATTTTTACCTCTGGGTGGTGAAGTAAACAGTCTTGATCAAATAAGAGCAACCCATTGATCTTTTTGTGGCTCAAACTCAGAATTGAGGATTCGGGATTCACATTCCACCAATGTAATAACTGGATTATAACTCAAGATCTTTAACACGATGCAACTGTTGTAAACGATACTCACCATTTTTAAGCGGCCCGTCTTTCTTCACCAGGATATTCAAAGCAAGAGGAAGATATGGAATTGAATACGAGATTTCTTTTAGCCGTGTCTCTGTCATCACCAGGTCTAAGGCTAAGTCACCTCTTCCCGATACCAACTCATTCATGACTCCATTCCATTTTCCCGTTTCTTCATCAATAATTCCGTACTGCCCGTCGGAGACGAGATAAATCTCGGGAACGAAGCCAAGCTGGCGTTCAAGAGATCTCAACAAGTCGATAGAAAATCCAAAGCAACAAAGCTGGACAACTCCTGTGTCAGTTTTGTTCCAACACATGTAACCTCTTTTCATGCACAAAATGGTACTCTCTGAAGTGTCCTGTGGCATCTCGGCCTCTACCCAAGACGGATACGAAACCACGGGAACGCGCAAAATGGGTCTCGGAATTGTAACACTTGGGGAAACGTGATACCCATTTGGAGCGTGAAATGTCTCTAATGCCATTCCTGAATAAGTCCTTAGACCCACAGATACCCAATGTTTGCATCCATAAACATCTTCTTGCAGATTAAAAATACCCATGGTGGCAAAAGGTCCCTTAGATAACTCAGGATCCTCGAATAGAGACGACTTCCCCGCGAAGAAAGTGTTTTTCAGTTTCCTAATTCAAAAAAAAGTTTTTTTTACAAACTAGGATTGGTAAATAAAGTTTAAAAGGGAAAAGAATGAGAAAAAAGGAGGAAGAAAGAAGAAAAAAGAAGGGTTCGTGAGTAAGGGGTTAAAGAGAAGGAGAAAGAGGAAGAAGAAGGCGTAGTAGGACAAATAGAGGGAGATCTGGGACAAAGAAGTAGAGAAGAGGAAGGCAGGCAGGAGGTAGAAGAGTAAATGAATGATGAGAGGATGGGAAGAGGTAGACGTGCAATAGGAAAAGAATGTGGAGGGAAGTTTAGGCAGAGATGCAACAAGAATGGACGAAAGGAGATGTAGTAGGGGCAGAGGAAAGCAGTAGGAAGAAGGAGAAGGGGAAGGAGATGGAAAGAAGATTGAATAGGAGGAGAGGACAGAGGGAGAGAGAGGTGGAGTGGGGAAACAAAGAGAGAAAGAAAAAAGAGGACAAGAAAGAAAGAGAAGAGGGAAAGAAATGGAATGAAAAGGATGAAGAGACGAAGGAGGAAATAAAGGGAAATGGAAAGAATGGAGGCAAGGGAAGGGGAGGAGACATGGTGACGAACTAGTTAGATACGTGAACCGTAAAATTCTACCTACTTCTTCATTTCCTTTACCGTCTGAAACTCTGTTGGTGTTTTTTGTGCAGACTGTTCCACTGATGTGTCGCCCTCAGCTGTCTTAGCAACGGTGGAGGTTACCGACTTTGTGATCAGTTGAAACACATCATACAGAGCATCCTCCATAAAATCATGTTGTGGACTTTTCCATGGAGATATCCTGATAAAACCGGTGGGTAACACTTCGTTGTCCGACACCCCAAGTGCAGCAATGTCTGTCAGCACCCAAGAAGCTTTGAGGTGACTGACACCTTGAGCTTGGACAATTCGGAACAAATCATCATTATATGAATCACGCACGTGGACAATGACAGCATCGCTAAGGTTGGACATGACTCTTTTGATATAAGATTGTAGCTCGGTGACATTTTTATTTCCCGATAGCCAAGCTGTATATAGAATATTCCATTTCAGTTCTCTTGAGGATATCAGTAATGCGTCCGAGAGAACTCTTCCTTCTAAGTCAGCGGACAATACAAAGCTAAGTGTGCGCCAGCCCATTTTTTGTATTAGGTCTCGGATGGTACACGCGTAGTGTATCATCGATGGGGACGCCACTCTAGTAAAAGCAGCTGGATTTTCCTGTTATGAAAGTAAATACTGTCAATTGAATAAGTTTAGATGCACAATCTCTTTAAATTAACTCCAACAATCGGTGTCGATCTTAATTTCTAGATACAACAGTATGTACCAAGTGGACTAACTTTTTATAGCAGTATTTTCATGCGATGGTTTATGCATTCTCTTGAACTACATGTAAGTGGTACATTTTTTTTTCGTCGATCGATTGCAGTGGATGACAATTAACCACAAAATCACCCAACTCGCCTTGCGAGAGCGTACCGTGTGGTTGGTTTATTACAGCTCAATAATCTGTCGTAGTGTTAGAATTCAAATATTATTTCTCCGGCCCCGGTTTAAGGTATACGCAACACTGGAATTACAAAAAGTGTAGGATAAGTTCTGTTATATTACTTGATACATTATTTATATAAAATTATATGCGTGGGTGCTCAGCTGGTGAATGTTTGCCGTCTCCAGTGGCAAAATGCTCTCTATTCAGAATTAAACGGAGCTTGCGCTGACGTACCATGATAAGCTAGTTGATATTTTTTCATTACCTTCAGTATAAATATCCAACTGATCACTTTTATATATCTTCTTATTTTATCATTTTGTTCTTTTTATATTAAATAAAATTTGTCATATTACATTTATATTATATACCCATACGCCAGGTCAAGGGGAATTGTAGAAATTGCGATGTGTGTTAAGATATATTTTCTATTTTTGCGCTTATGGCAATCAATGCTGTGCCAATTTGTGCAAAAGAAGAGTCACTTCCAAAATAGGAAATGTCATCTTTGATACATTGGTAACCGAAGATATTAGGAAGAAGCGATTCGTAAATAGCGAAAAATCATTTATGGTTTTCTTTGCGTTTGTTGAAGAAATAATACAGCTGGCACTTACTGCAAATGGAAAAAAAAAACAAGGGTTGAGTGAATTTGATATATTCCCTAATTGATAATTTTGAGAGGCGATGCTTGAACGAGACTCCATTCTCGAATCGGTGAAATTTTCGGGAAAAGAAATGTAATGAAATGGTTGAATCGGAAAAAGCTACTCCTCTGTGGTGCAGTACTTAACGTACTTGTAAATCGTGGTAAACCAAAATGTTGACTCATAATTCTTGGAAATTAATTCTTTTAGACGAAACGCAGCTGAATTCACGAACGCAATAGTCAAAACAAGTGTTTTTCACATCGAAAATTAGTCCATTGATTTCATAAACACCTTCTGTCTCAAAAAAAGAATTCATATGTCTTTATTGAAGTGGCTTTGTGAAAGAATCAACGCAACGTACTGTGCTGACAAAGCGAAGCCAAGAAAGGGAAAATTATATGACAAATATGACGTAGATTTTAACGGAAATATAAAGGTGAGCCACAATTGAATAATGCAGTGTTTTGAATAAAAACATATCTCAATGGATTTATGCCTAATACAATACAATTAATCAAGAAAAGAGCAATCCTTCTTACCTGTGTCCTAGACATTCCATTTGTTTGGAACAGACCGACAGTAAGAATATTTGAATTTTCCAAGATGGAAGCCAAAACCAGCTCATGACTCGAAATGTGAACAAAAATTGCCACGTGCAGCGAGCTAGATTGGTTATAATTGAGACCCATCACCTGATCTAAGCTCAATATATCGGAGATCATCCTGTTATATCTGATAAGCTTGAAACTTAAATCTGAAGAATTCTTATGATCATTCAACAAAACGTTGCATAGCATTTTTTACAATTTGTGTCAAATCCGAATTTTGTTCCTCGAGGAAGATGTCCACGTTAATTACCAGGCTTTGGCTTCCAAGCGAGCAGTAAATCGTGTAGGCAATTAGTCCAAATACAAAGAACAATTTTTTCAATTGCGAGTTTAACTTCTGCATATTATTTTCTGGATCAGTCAATCGTAAAACTTTGGTTCTTTTGGTTGTTTTTTCTCCCCTTACTTACAGTGAGCACTCGATCCAGATATTATCCGATTCGAACACGAGGGTTTTCGCGCAAGGTGACATACTAAAATTTTCGACGCAAGTGAATTTGCTTTTTGCGCGACAACGATGAGTTAACAAATAATTAAAGGCATGGTTTTGATGGAAGTCTAAAAATTAAAAGATTCCTATTGGTTAAACAAGTATGGTGGTGATATTGCAACGCAGGTGGCATCAATGTTTAAAAAAGTCTTCAATACGTCTTTTTATAATACGTCCGTGTCAATTTTAAGCAATGAATACCATTAAATAAAAATAAAACGAAAAACGTTCTTGCATAAATCGATAGGAAAAAAAATCTTGTCATTAAAAGAATCAAAATAACTCCAATCTATTTACAAGTAGAAGCCTGATTTAATTTGCTACCTTAAACGCAACTCTGATTTGGAATTGTGCTAAAGTATTTCGTAAAGTTGATTGGTACATCTGAAAGCGTCTTTTTATTAAACTCATCGATGTCGATGTAGCATTTAACCTTTGCTTATCTCAAAGCCTTTCGCGTGAGAAAAGTTAATTTGCTTTGTATGCACAGAAGTATGTCAATAAAAAGGTAAATTAAAATCTATTTTTAACAGTAGCACTACATCGTATATAGATGAGAAAAAGTTACCTAGATGCTTTTTGTAAGGAAAAAAATTATGTGATCAATTAAAAATTTCAAGAGGATATGCTTGGGACTCGAATAAAGCCTGTTCGTCGGAGACAGTCCGTCATATAAAACTGAGCGCTGAAAGAGACAACTAAGACTGCAGTTAGTCCTAATTTTCTGTTTATAACCGTCTTATTCGTGCAAATTGATACGCTCCAAAAAAATTTTATGTCAGCGAGTACATAATGTTAGAAATTTATGTTCAGCTTTTAATATTTTGCCATATTTGTTTTCGGGGAAAAGAACTACTCTCTACAGGTGTGTAAATTAATCAATGTAATGAAAGACGGTTGAACTGTCTTGAGCAAAGGTGAGAAGTGAATCGAAAGTTGTTGTTTACATTCATTATTTTTAAGATGAAGCCATTTCAAGATACTGGTTGCTAAGTTACAATAGGCGAGAGAACTCAAGAGCCCTATTCCTATCGCTACAATCAGTTTGATGATTTCGCCGCACGTGACTGTCATGCGCTGCATGTGATGCAAATGCACGCCCACAATATTTGCACTTGAAGGGTTTCTCTCCGCTGTGTTGACGGATGTGCGTGCGCAGTATGGAGGAAGCAGTGAAGGCTTTGGCACAATAGGGACACTTGTAGGGTCTTTCGCCGCTGTGAACTCGTGTGTGTTTGTTGAGGCTTGAAGACTGGGAGAATCTTTTGCCGCATTGTGCACACTGGTGTGGACGGTGTTTCTCGTGAACGTGGAGTATATGGATGCGGAGACGGTCGCGTTTCTCAAAGGAGCGGTTGCACAGGTTACAGGGGAACTTCCGGTCACCCAAGTCAACGCAGCTCGTGTATTTAAGATGGCGGTCGCGGTAGTATTTGTAAGAGAAAACTTTTCCGCAACAATGGCAGGGGTAACTTGAACCATCTGCAATGAAGAATTTGCTGACTAGACAATCCATTTGTATCTATCATTATTGTATTTTATGGATTTTTAGTTGCCCCCACGATAAAAAGAAAAATGTTTTATTGAAATAACTTTGACCGTTTTCAGTTTTCAGAAGCTCCAATCTTGATCGGAAAGAGATATCATTCTTTGAACTTATTGAGCTTTGCCCAGCGCGCTGCATCAAGTCACTTTAATGTTCTTTGTTTATCTATTTTGTATCTGGAGCCGAACGATTTCCAAGAGGGTTCGACATATCCCTATGAACGTTCGAGGCTTTCCCAAATTTGTTTGCTTTTGAACACCGAGGGATATCACTCTCCGGCTATCAGATCAAACTATCGAATTAGCAAATATCATGCTATTCAAGTATGCTATCCCAGGGGTTGCCCCATAAAGATTCGAATATCCATCTATCGTAGTAGCGAGTGAACTTTCATTCCTGTCTATTACTAAGGGTATCCCAAATATCTATATTAAGTTGGCGCTATTGAAGCTTTAAAAAGAAGCAATCTAATAGCGCCACCAGAAGGGTGTCAACGCGTCCCTTGATCGAGCAATTCGATACAAGGTGTTTAAAGTAACCCTGGATTGCTGTGTTTTTGTCGTACTTCATCATGTGATCGGTAAAGAAAAACTCGCACCACTCTTTCAAACAATCAAATTCAAAACCAAAACTAATCAGGAGTTTGCCTGTTTTTGGTTTGAATTCTCATTGGCTCTTTCCAATATCTTCCGTTGTTCTAATTGGCTATTATTGTACGGCTTTTAGTTTTACGACGCCTAATGCTTCACTCACAATCTGATCCACTCTTTATTCCTAGAGGTATCCCCATGAACATGCGATATCCTTCACCGTACCACACTTTCAGTTCCTCCCCCTCCGTAATCAGACTTATGGCCTCGTAATACAAAAATTGTTCTTGCTGTATTAATTGCAAGTTTTGCTCCGCTGGATGGTAGGCGCAATCAACGAACTTCATCCAGTTTTTCGGATTTGCAGCTCCATCAATGAAGTAGCCAAGGCGACCCTCGATAAATATCTAGAGTGTTATAAGAGGAGTGATAATCAGTACATTTTGCTTTCTCAAAACGTCTAAAGTCGTCAATTAAGATGCAAAAATTTCTAAGTTCTTCTTGGCCTGACAACTGAAAAATGCCGAAATTTTACTACGCCTGACACAGGAAACTAGTTTGTGGAAACGAGCAAAAAGTTTGCACGAATGATAAAATAATTCAAGAGGGGAAGGGAGCTAGGTTATGCATTCGTCTCCTCTGACTAAGAATTTAGAAGAGGCTTAGCGGTTTCCTTGGTTTCGCAGCGAAAAGCATAATCCAAGAAGTAAAAAAAGTGCTAAGGAAAAGCTTATGACTTTCAAATCACGTACCTCCCACATGAACTCGTTTTGAACGGAATCTCTTTGCTCTAAACGAACGACGCTTCCTGTGTATGGCCCAAAGCGCGTGCCCTTCCTGATGGGAAGCTGGCCACAGAAAACGCCATACCGAAGGCTTCCAGGGGTGGCAACTTTAAACAACCGTAAATCATGTGGTAGAGCTTGCCTTGAAAACCAACCTGAAAGTAATTGTTTTTAAATTTCATTCCTCGCTTCTGGAACTTTCCCGAGTGTTTTTTCTTAAGCCCTAAGGGAGCTGACACGTGCTTGTAAAAAGTTGGAAAGGCGGTTTATTGTTATAAACTTTTTTTAATTTTAAAGCGTTACATCTTTATGGTTTACCAGCGCAGTAAGCGCATACCCAAGGTTTGTGAAAGGCTGAAGCAGTTTGATGAGCTTTCATTACCATTCTTGAGAGCTTCCTTACTATACAGCGCCACCTTGGAATGTTGTTGTGAAAATTTAAATCGAATTGTAGCGTTTCTATTCTCCATAATGTCCAATGTGTGTGGTCCTTCCTGAAAGAATAGAGTAAAGTATTTGAGCTTTTTAGGCAGCAAATCGTAAAATGGATATGAAGAAGCCAATTTCCTTTTTTTGCGTCGAGAATTTTAAATCTACCCATATCCCAAAATCATCGTATTGACCGATATTTGATTTTTACTTCTAAAATCGTTAAAAAAATGAATTTAAAGTTTTTTTTTTATGTTTATCGGCGTCATGTATTATTGCTGCGGAAAATTTATTGTAACTTTAAACTGTGTTGCTTTTTTGGCCTCATGACGTACCGTAAATGAATTCTAATATATTTTCATTTTCCAATGGGTTTCTTCCCAGCAGTTCTGTTTTCACATCGCTTGTAGCCTCTTGCTACGATATGTTTTTTTGGTTGTTCGACAAAATAAATGAATGAATAAATACATCAAAAAGTGGATTATTAAATATATCTATATAAGTTTAAGCTTATCTATATAAGTTTAAGAAATGTATAAATGTTTGTATAACTTGAGGCAACACAATGATTTCAGTTCAAGGCAGTTGAAAGTTCAGAGCGTTTACTATGTAGAGCAGAATTTTACCTGGCTTTAAACGCAGAGTTCAACCTTCCTTGCCAGACGACAATAATAGTGAATAAGAGCGCTTGTAACCCATTACATAATAAAACATCCCTCAGCTTCAGAAGGCTCTATTTAATGACCTAAAGAGAAGGAAGATTAAAATCTAATGAAAATTTAGCACATGTCCCTTTTTCCCTTTTCTGATGGGATCAACTTTTTGGTTTAATTTACAGGGGTGCAGATTAATACGTCATCGAATGCCTTATTCTATGATCCAAAAAGGATGTACGACTAATTAAGGTGGTCTTATACCCAACAATTAAGGCGTATTCCACCTGCCCATTTGATAATTAAATAGTGTGGTTTTCTATTCAAGAGCGCCAATGTAATTCAAAATTAAAGTACTGTATTACAAGAAGGTTTTACCAAATGACCCTCGATATAGGACTGAAGAACTTTAATGCTAACGAGAAAGTAGGAATTGTTAATTCCGTTTTTTGTCAAACTGATCCTAACATGCAGTCATTGATGAAAGGAAGTTAATGAAGTTAAATCCTTTAGTCCATGTATTTCCTTATTTGTTGATTGGACTTACCAAAATGCAGCAAGATTGTTTAATGATCCGCCACCAAGCAATACGTTTACAACGGAAAATGTGGATAAGAATATTAATATGCATGGTGTCATAAGGTCAGCATTATGTTGAAATATTCTTACAAAATTAAAAAATAAAAAAAAAATAACCAAATTTCCTAGACGTTCTAATTTGGCTTTCTATGGTCTACGTTTTTCAATGAATACGTTACTTCCCCCTTATTTGATTACACCGGTCCGGTACGTGGTTAACATTTTCCGAAAGGAGTATAAACCAACAAAAATTTAAGCCGGACATGCCTTTTTTCTATCAATAAATGTATTCTTGAATCAACCGCTTATCTTCGCCGGAGAAATTGCCAGAGGCTCGAAAATGTAGATTATTGGAATAGAATTATACATATGAAAATATGAAAATGAAGATCTCTTTTATTCATCCAGTTTCCATGCAGGCACACTCTCACGGAAGAAGAATAATATGAAGTTTAAAAGCACACTTTTATTGAGATCAAAGCTCTTGTTACAGGAATCATTTTGCGAAATCTAAATCATTATGAAATTAATTTCCCCTTTACTGTGGATATACAATCATTTCTTTTTCTACGGTCTACGTAATCTTCCTAACTAACAAACTATTGCATAAAATTATTTGAAGGCGCTTCTTTATCAGCTTCTTTACCCCAACGTTACTCTTTACCAAAAAACCTAATGCAGTTGTCTTGAGAAAAGATAGTTAAGACATTGTTCACATTCTCTGTTTCTCTCACTCATTCTGACCGAAGCAATGTTTTCCCATTATTTCTTGGAGCTTATCGCCTGAAAAATCGGCCAGCTTAGCACTTATCTGTTCAACAAAACATTTATCATTGGTTAGATATCTATAGTGAGGTTTCTCTGAAAGGAGAACCTCTTTGATGCATTGGGCAATCTCCTCCCCTTTCTGAGAGATTGACGGACCAAGTGCGCCCTTTATGTAGTCAAACCAATTCTTCATTAGTTGGACAGTTTTTTGGTCAGCGGTGGAGGAATCTATGTTCTGTATGTTAGCGAAGAACGAAGTGCCAACAGGTCCGGGCTCCACCAATGAGATCCTAGAGTAGAAATAAAAAATAACAGAGGAAATAAGTGACTGCTTTCTATTTGACCGAAAATTCGGACTTGAATGTCAAAAAATTTCCTATTCTTCGCGTCACCATATGTCGAACGCTGGTCGATTGTTATGATTCATTTCCTGGTTTCCATAAAATGAATTTGAAGCAAATAAGCGAAACATAATTTCCCCTTCCCCTCCCTGGAGGAAGGAGAGAGTGATTTATTTCTCCTGATCCTCCTCTCCCCTTTCCTGTGACTCGTCAAGTTTCCCCGACACGTTCATGTTATACCCCCGGCTCCAGGGTGGAGAGAGGTATCTTTAGTGTCTTGCCCAAGAACACAACATGATACTCCGGGTAGGGTTAGAACCCTAAAATTAGGCCACTGTTTGTCCTTGCTTAAAGTTAACCAAAAGACTTTCAAATGATTACTATCAATCATTTAAAAATTTATTTGAAATCATCATATAATGATGATCACTTTGTCTTACTGAGCCGCTCTCTGATTGAAATTGCAATTTATCATCGCAAAACCGAAAAAAAAAAAAAAAGGGAAAGATCCTTACTTGATTTTGAACTGCCTTAACACAGGTGCCAGTGACTCTGTGAGTCCTCCCAGAGCAAACTTTGACGCACAGTAGATGTCATTAAACGGTCCGCCCAACTCCCCAGCCATGCTGCTGACATTCACAATGTACCCACTCTCCCTCGCTTTCATACCAGGGAGTACAGCCTGGATCAAACGAAGAGCTCCGAAAAAATTCACTTCAAATAATTGTTTGACTTGATCCATAGGCATGCACTCCAGAACACCGACACAACCAACACCAGCGTTGTTTACTGAAAACAGAAAACGGACAGAGTGAAATATGAAAGATCCCAACCCACCTTCAGTATGAAGTAAGATCCAATGGTGCTCCCCCCCCCACCCCTTTACCGAGGAAAATAAACTGAACGACTGATTGCAGGTCAGATAGAGCCATGCAAGCTAACCTGACTACCAATCTCTTCTGCTACTTTTCCATCGAAGCGTGAGCTCATGAGTAGCCTATGTGTAGCCGTACCCTCCGCGCGCAACACAAGGTGAAACTCTAAGGGGAGGAGGGTACGGCTACACGTAGGATCTCATTAACGGCATGGGCGAAAAACGAGCGAAAAAGCGACGAGCGGGGAAGGAAAGGCTAGGCAGGTCGTGAATTGGTAGAAGCTGAGTGATTGTCTGGGAGCAGGCTGTCTTATTTCTGGCCAAATTTAGCAGCTAAAGCGAGACAAGGAAATACATTAGAGATGAATGTTATGCTCTATGCTCTTATTTTATTTATCTGACTGCAATAGTCGATTTAAGATTAGTCTAATGAATATATTCTCAACTTTGCTCGAAGGCTATTTTTAAGATTGCACAATGTTGATCAGGGCCGTTTGTTTACCTAAAAATAGTTCTCGTAAATCTTGTCATAATATTATGAATTTGTCTTTCGTGTTTGCAATATTCTTGCAGCTCATATTTGATGAATTTTTTTCGCTTTTAATGGTTTTCTATCATTGACATTCTGAGGTTTATTTTTATTTGGCAATGCACTCTCAGATGTCGTGACAAGAAGTTCCCTTTTTTACCAAGAGATAAAGCTTCGTGAATATTAAAGCGATCTACGCAGTAATGAACACTACTTGAGCAGCAGTGAAAATAAGGCCTCACAAAAACCTTTGGCCTGTTCGGGATTAGAACCGATAACTTGTATGATACCGTTGAATTCACGTCTTTATCCGCAGTTCACATCTATGATTTTCATCTGTTCACAGTCATTTGATAAAGCTTCATCACAAATATGCTTTGTCCTGCTCTATTGATTTCAGGGCTCTATTGTTCTGACTCATCATTTTCAGTATTCTGATATGCAAATCATTTTAGCTTTTATTGCATCTACGATATCGGTTTCATCTCTTGTTAATTTGAAATAAAATTAATCCTGCGAGATGAAAAAGTGGTGCTAGCATAAACATGTCAACAAACATACGATTATTTTCGTGGTGGAGCTTTCAATAATGCGCAGAGATTTTTCATGACTACCCCTGTGTAAATAATTCGACCTGAAATGGTGCGTGAATACACTTACAAAATAAAATGTAACACATCTGAGTTTTTCAGAATTCTTAGCTCGTTTACATCAAGGACACCTCGAAATTCACTTACTGAGATCATCGATTTTTCCTTCTTGAGCAATTATCTCCTCAACGGCACTTTTGACAGATTCGTCAGAGCTCACATCCATGGCTTTGATAATCAATGTATCACCAAGTGCATCCTTTCCCTCATTCTCAAGGGCCGTCTTTTTGTCCAGGTTTCTCATCGTAGCGTACACCTTAAAACGTTTCTCGGGATCTTTGGCTAAAAGCACGGCAGTTTCTAGGCCAATGCCAGTGGAGCAACCGGAGATTAAAACCACACGAAATGAAGCCATTGCTGCGATCGTTCGTTCGTTCGTTCTTCCGTGACTGTGATGCGCCTACAATGTTGATCAAGGCGTTGCGTGGGCGAGGTCGTTGTTCTGTAATCAGTTACAAACAGCAAAGAAGATTCTATCGACCAATCAAAAGCGGCTGGCGTGACACAGCAATATCTAGGGTTTCCAGGGCTAAGCCT